CTTTTCGAACTTCTTATAATCACTCTGGCCCTTAACATCGGAATTGGCAGCAAGCATAACGTACTTGTAATTTCCGTTGATGTTCTCTTGCCACATGGCAAGCCATGTGCCTTCTTGGTCGTTCTTCACCTCCTTCCAACTGTGGCCTTCGGGTGGTGGAGGAACGGGGGCGTTTTTCCCGATGTTGATTGTGATCTGCTCCGGCAGAACTCGAGCCTTGACACGGCCGGTCTTGGGATGTTCACCACGACCACGGAACAAGGCCGGCGGTTCGACTCGGAAGTTGCCGACTTTCTGCTTGCGACCGTCCCACATGCAGTACATGTAAGGAGCTTCTTGTTCATCTTTCTCGGCTTTTAAGCGCTTCTTCTCGGCAGGAGGCAAGTTCTTCTTCTCAAGGCGCTTCATGTCATAGTATGCGAAAATGGGTTGAAAGTCACACTTGGAGAACTCTTTGATATCGACCTTGTTGCCTTTGGAGTCGGTTGCGCCCCCGGTCTTCTTGAGGATGTCCCGAAAATCCATGAAGAAATTCTTCTGGAAAGTGGGGTTTTCGACGTGGTGAGTCGAGTTCAGCATGCTGCCAAAGAAACCGGCGACCTCTTCCGCGTCAGGATGAAGATTGACGGGGATGCCGTCATATTTCAACTTAACATTTTTAGGAAGAGGTTCATAAGGAGGAGGGAAGACCACGCCATTGTGTTCGAGCGTAGTCCACTTGATCGTGCCGTCGCCCTTGGTCGGGTCCTCCCACCACTTATACTCCTCCTCCTCGTCGGCGTCCTCAACTTCCTCGCTTTCTTCCTTTTTCACGGGGGTTGCTTTGGGGGTCGCTTTTGCGGCAGAGGCTTTCGTAGGAGTAGCCTTGCCGGCCGCAGCTCCTCGCTTGACGGTGGTGACAACAGTCTTCTCTGGAGCTCTGGCGTGCTTGGCTGTCTTTTTCACGATACTGGGCTTCGCATCCTCGGGCTCCTTCTTCACGCCATTGGTTTGCTTCTTAACCGCTGTTGCCTTGGTGGTCTTCGGAGTAGCCGTGCTGCGGCTGGACTTGGCTTCTTTCTCGCCTTTCACTTGGATCCGTTTCTTCTCGGCAGCGAGCTTCCTCTCGATGGGGACATCCGAATCTGATTCATCGCCGATGGCGGTTTCGGAAGCCTTCGGGAGTTTGCGACCGTTGAGCGCGAGAGGCACATCATCATCCGTCTCAGGGTCCTCGTGCTTCACAGACGTGCGACGACGCTTGCTCTATCGAAAAGTCAGCCGATTGACTAGATTCGTAACCGACGTTGAACATGGAACACTGGGAGTGGCGAAGGTAGGTGTGGCGTACCAAAGGTTGATCCTCCTCGCTGCTTTCCGGCTCAGCATATGACTTGATTTGACCAACACTGTTGCGCGACTTTCTCTTCGAAGCGGCGCCGGCTTGAGCATCCGCATCCGCCATCTCAACATCATTTTCGGATTTCACCGGACCGAACCGAATTGACACTCCAGGGTCAACATGACCGTTTGTCTCTGTCGCACCATTCCATGTCAAGTTAGTGGATATACTGGAGTGATCAATGGAGGGTAGAAGTGAAGAAGTAATGACGTTGGGGTGAGGGGTGGGTAGGCGCATTGAGGCAAATGTCACTCAATAGGAAGGGAGAATTGAAGACTGAGTAAAACGTGGAGCGAGAACAGCACGCGAAAGCATGTATGCTAAAGTGATGAAACTTACCCGTATGGCGACCATTGGCCTGGACGAGTGGGGTGTCATCGTCCGAGGAGCTCATATTTGCAAGGCGACGGGGATGATAGAAGCGCTGAGAGCCAGAGGCCCGGTACGAGGCAATCCGGGAAACGGAACTCGAAGGATGTGAGATTATTGAACCGCTGAAGTTGGCGAATGGAAGAGGCGCTTGACGGAGGGATGCGATCAATGAAAGCCTGGCCAATGAGAGAGCTACCAGAGGACGAAGCGTCACAGAGGAGGAAGATACATGGACGAAGGACGCTAAGGACAAGAGAGGAGCCAAGAGGAAGACTGAGAAGAGAGGAGAAGAGAAGAGAAGAGGGAGAGAAAATCAGATGAAAGACAGGGGAGGGAACCAATCAATGGAGAATGGGGAAGCTGAAAAGAAGGGGAAGAAAGAGGCAGGAGAGATGACAAGAGGGAAAAAAGACTGAGGGAAGAAAGAGAGAAGAGAGAGAGAGAGAGAGAGAGAAGAAGAGACGAGAGCGAGGCGAGAACCTGGAATGGAATGGAAAACGAGGCCGTCCCGGGATTGGGGCCTGAGGCGATCGATTACCTACAGTACTAACTAACGAACTAACTAACTATAGACTCATAACTTAGAGTCAACTTGCAAGGACTTAACTAAGGCTCACCTCATGGTTTCCAAGTTTGACTTTCACGTTTCTCCGGACCGTCCAGCCACTCCCAGCGCGAGAAGCGGCCAGAAAACGACTGGCCTGAGGAACCCAATCCCCACTCAGTTGGAGAACTGGATGACGATTCCATTTCATTTGCGCCGGAGAGAGCTGTGGATGCCTGAGGGATCTTGATTATTGCCTGGGTAGATCGGAGTGGCGAAGTCACATGACTGTTTGTAGTGTTTGTGATGTTGATGATGTTGCCGGCAATTGCATTGTAGGTCCCTCCTGCCACCCGAATCATCACACTCACCACACTATCAGCATCTTCCCAATATGGACTAGCGTGAACTGGAATCCCGTGCTGGCCGGCTGTCGGAAGAACAGAAACAGGAGTCCCAAGTTCAACCACCGACTTCTCATCCGCCAGCCCCAAAAGAGGATTCTCTGACCTCCTCCCCTCCCCACCCCTCCCCCCTCCACAACTTGCTATATCGTTGGTCTTAGATCCGACCGTACGGTTTCTTCCACATTCAAGATGTTCTCCCGTGCTGTTCGTCCGGCCGTTCGCGCTGGTAGTATTGCGGTCTCCCGGTAAGTTCCCTCAGTCCGGGCCATCCACACAACCCACACCCACACCCACAGCCCGTTGCCCATTGTGCATTGGCTCGCCAATGGCTCGCCAATATCAATCGACCTGGAACAATGGAAGAGCTTGAGTTGATGAGATGGTTCAATGGCTGATTTATCCGGAAGCACTGCTCCTCCCAACGCCGCCAACTTCGCGACTCTGCGTGAAATCGAGGGCCGTCTCAAGTCCATCAAGAACATCGAGAAGATCACCAACACCATGAAGGTCATCGCCTCTACCCGTCTTACCCGCGCCCAGAAGGCCATGGAGGAGTCCCGCAGCTACGGTCAGACCTCCAACACCGTTTTCGAGCAGGCTGAGACCAAGCCCCTCGAGGACAAGAAGACTCTGTTCGTCATCGCCAGCTCCGACAAGGGTCTTTGCGGCGGTATCCACTCCGGTCTCAGCAAGGCCACTCGCCGTATGCTCCAGCAGACTCCCAACGCCGACATTGTCGTCCTCGGTGAGAAGGCCAAGGCTCAGCTGTCCCGTACCAACCCCAACGCCATCGTCCTGAGCTTCGCCAACGTCTGCAAGGACGTCCCCACCTTCGCCGATGCTCAGGCCATCGCCGACCAGATCTCTCTGCTCCCCGAGGACTACGCCAGCGTTAAGATCGTCTACAACAAGTTCCTGAACGCTCAGAGCTACGAGCCCGCCACCGTTGAGGCTTTCTCCGAGGAGGCCATCACTCAGTCCCGTGAGTTTGAGCCGTTTCTGCACTCAAGTGAACTACATGCTGAATGATCTTTACAGCCAACCTCTCTGCCTACGAGACTGATGAGGAGACTCTCACCAACCTCCGCGAGTACGCTCTTGCCAACAGCTTGTTCTGGGCTCTTGCCGAGGGTCACGCCTGCGAGATCTCTGTGAGTCGCTTCTGTTGAACTATCACGCCATGAATCAATGCTAATCAGATACAAGGCCCGTCGCAATGCCATGGAGAACGCTTCCAAGAACGCTGGTGAGATGATCAACAAGTAAGTTCTGCCGTCCCTCGTCGTGGGAACGACGCTTATGCATTGCAGGTTCCAGATTCTGTACAACCGTCAGCGTCAAGCCGCCATTACCAACGAGCTGGTCGAGATTATCACTGGTGCCACCGCCAGTGCGGACATGTAAAAGCTTTTCTGAAGCTTTTGTGGGGAGGAGTCACCATGTGTGTAGACTTACTCATAAATACCTAGATGCTTTCCAGCCTGTAAAATCTATCCTATCTTTTCTTTGTCCAGGGTATTTTTGTGTGAGACGAATGAAGTGAATCAACCATCCTATCCAGAATATGATGCTTTGAAAATTATGCGATGCTGTCATTGTATTGACACTATCAGGGAGAGTATAATACTGAAGCTGTGAATTCACTTCGAGTATCTATTATCTCGTCGACATACACACTGCACACTGCATCTGTACTGAGTATTCAATATGGTATCGATTCACAATCGAGATAACTGTTCCCAGGCATCCTCTGTCCCACTGTCGCAGTCCGCAAGTGTGAATGTGTTCTCAGTCTTATTGACCTTCAGATAGCTATGCCCTCTATGAGTGCACTCAAGACCTCCGATTCACTCCTATTACTCCTAGGACACTCTACCTTATAAAAGCAGTCTCCCTGCCTTTCTCCCTCCTCTACCAATCCTCGATTTACCACCTGTCACCCACTGCAGTCTCGATCACCCACCCAATCGATCCATCGAGGTAGTCTACATCAACAAAGCAAACGCAAACACTTCTGAGACACAAATCACAACAACCTTCTCAAACACACCCCTCCATCCCCAGCACCTGCGACATCTCCCAATTCCACTATTCACTTCAAGCCTACCCACGCCGACGTTACCTCATTTCATCTTCCCAATCCTTTTCCCAATCCCGCTCCTCCACCACAAGCCCACCAACCTCACCCACCTGCACCTCTCGCATCCCCAAGCCGAACCCCAAAAGACCATCCCACCAGACAAGAACGCATGCAGCCCACCCACCACCACCACCGCCGACACACCCAACGGGCAAAATGACGACCCCAACCTTTTCCTCGTCCACCTTCATCGACTGCTACGCAACCCTCAACATCCACCCGCACGCCGACCTCAAAGAGATCAACAGCGCCTACAAGCGCCTCGCTCTGAGGTATCACCCGGACAAGACCGAGGGAGGAGACGCCGAGACGTTCCAGAAGGTGAGTGCAGGCGCAGCTGGGCTGGTTTTACGCAGATACGCATATATACCCACACCGACACCCAAACCCAAACAAAACACGCTTTCACTTTACTCGTCTTTCCAACGCCCCTCTTCTGTATATCAGATTACCCTTGCTTTCCTCTCTTTCACCCCTCATAGAAGCCATTATCGGAAGCTAAACTCACCAATACGTAAACAGATCCTTTACGCCGTCGAAACCCTCCGCGACCCCAATCACCGCGCCATCCACGATGCCGCCCTCGATGAACACCGCTGTCGCAACCTGAAATACACCGCAGACGCGGGGGCCTTCTTTCGTCGCGGCTACCACCGTCACCACCACCAGCAGCAGCAGTATCGTGCCGATGACCCATATAACCAAAGCCGGTACGAGGCCTCTTACCGCCACAGCGTGCACATGGATCCCACGGCGCCGGAGTCCATTGAGATCATGGAGCAGATGCGTCGGGATCGGGAGTATAGCGAGCAGCTGGAGCGGGAGCGGGAGCGGGAGACTCGGGAGGCGGAGAAGGCTGCTGCTGCGGGGTTGTTTCAGGAGGGGCAAGATGGGGAAGGGGAGGGGTATGACCCGGGCCGGGTGGTGGATGACGACTTGAGTTCTTGGTCTTCTTCGTCGGAGGAGCCGATGGGGTATTATGATGAAAGTGGGTGTGTGGTGACGAGGAAGAAGGATAAGAAGAAGACGAAGCAGGCAAGGGGGAGGGGGAATGCCGGTGAGGGGGTGAAGGGGGTGGAGGAAGAGGTGAACGAGGAGGAAGAGGAGGAGGAAACTTGGATTGGGTATTCGGATAAGACGGCTTATTGGTCGGAGGAGAAGCAGGCTAAGGATCAGGCTCAGGAGGAGAGGCGCGCCAGGTGGATGGCTAGTCTGTTGGATCCGGATGCGGGCTGGAAGTCTATGAAGTATTCTTGGGGACAGCAGCAGGAGGAGAATAAGGAGGAGTCTGAGAAGGATTTCGAGGAGGAGTATGACGAGGAGTATGAGGGAGGAGAGGGAGAGTATGAAGAGGGGGAGGAGGAGGAGGAGGAAGACGAAGACGAAGACGAAGAGGAGGACGAAGAGGAGGACGAAGAGGAAGAGGAAGAAGAAGAGGAGGAAGACAGCGAGGAGGAGCAGTCCGACGAAGAGGACAGTGCTGACCTCCTATCAGAGGGTAAATCCGATGGGCAGGAGGAAAGCATCTCCATGGGTAACCTGATTGATCTCGAAGACGACGCCAATGACCACACAGAGATGCCCACTGTGGCCAGCAAAGGAAGCACCGGGTCTGTCACTGAGCTCGTCCCTGAAGACCACCATCAGTCGGCCGATCTGTTGGACTTGGGGGAAGACAAGAACTCACAGGCTAGTAAAGCGGACAATGATCTGGGAGAATGCAAGGACAAGGTGGATCTGGATGGACAGCCAGGCCGTGCGCAAGGACACAAAGACACTGGCTGGAAGGAGAACGATGAATGTGTGAGTCTAGCCGGCTTCTCCTGGTTCTAGCAAGTCTTAAGGACCATACTAAGTTTGGAATTAGTATGGAACCCCCGGGGCCGAAGTCTTCCACGAGATGTTCTGCAAAGAGGATATTGGCCCGAAGCGGAAAGAAGTATGCATGTGTGGAAGGGTCGAGGGTATCGCAGACGATGAAGAGGACTGGTTCCGCTATCCTGGGCAGATGCCCTGGGGCATGAGCTTGCCAAACAAATTCTCCAAACGCAGCACCACCGACAACGACGACAACTATGACGATGAAGACACAGACGAAGAAGAGGACAACTCCGAGGGAGATGCAATCGGCGGTCACGAAGGAGAAGACCTTGAAGACGACTCGACAGTCCACAACTCCAACCACCACAACGATCACGATCACACCCAACCCACACCAAAGACCTCAAACACCGCCAATGGCTACATCAACATTCCCTCCGAAACCAACTCCCACTCCGAAACCTACCACTTCTACGATACAAAAGCCGAGCACCCAGCCGCCGCAGAGCAATCCGATTCCGACTTCGTGACCGCAAACGAGGACCCGGCCATGTCGACCGACTCCCTAACCCGGCCCGCCAACCTCATCGCAGCACCCCCACACGGCCTCAGCGCCTACCTCACGCCGCTGCTCCCCTACTTCGAGTCCAAGCTTAACCGAAGCGACGGCCGCTACACCCCGGACGACATGGTCGTCGAATGCCGCGGGATCATCTTAGAGACCTTCTGCGGGTGGATGGAAGGCGTGCGGCGTACGTTCCGGGATGCGGCGACGCGTGGCTGCAACGACGAGGGTGAATGCCTGCATCTGGGTTACTGGGACAAAGCCTATGGGCAGGCGGAGTGCAAGGTCTGCGGGCAGTGGGAGCCGATCTTTACACTCACCTGCCCCGGTTGCGGGCTGGAGGCGTGCGTGGCGTGCAAGTTTACGGCGCCGGCTACTTGGAATCGTGGTCGGGTGTCTGGTAGCCTGGGATGAATCTTGCTATGGTGGGCATTTAATGGAGCTGAGATGACGAAGAGAGAGGGATTTGGCATGTAATTCTTGATATGGACCAGGTTTTTCTTTTACGCGAACTCTTAATCGATCAATCTATCTATCAAATCTGAATACGACCAGCTCACGATTCCCATTCTCACCAACAATGTACCTCTCGTTTCCGTAGATCTTGCCTCGGCCAGTGAGCTCAAATGCCTCATCCTGCATGAGTCTGGTGTGCGAAGTAGGGGTTTGGATGCTCAGAAGCATCCGCATGTCGAACGGCCACCGGATCGACGACATATATAGACAATACCCCACTTGGGCTTTCTCGTCGTACGCTTCCGAGACAATAGCATAGGATGGCTCATTCCATGGAGAGGACCTAAGGGGACCCGTCTGCAAGCTACAGTTGCCGCGGTAAGGGGGCAGGGAGACATCCACTGCTCGTCTCCAAGCAGGGCCATCTCCGACCAAGGGGATTGTAGTCACCCGCACCTCAGTGGTCCAGTCCGCTGGGCCCCTTCGTACCTGCGGCTCTGGACATCGACTTTCGATTATTTCTATCGAAAGATCATCGTCCGTGATATTCAGACACTGCACCCCGGGGAGGCCTCGTTGGCGCACAGAATAGAAGCCCAGCTCTCTGAAGCCGAACCGAGAGACGATCGGGGGCCCTTGGTCCTCGGCCTCCTCGCGCAGCCGACGCGTAGGATCCAGGGAGGGCCGGTACGACGATGGGGCGGAGATGTCCCAGACCGAGAGCGACTCGATCGGGGCATCGTCGTCGGCAGTATACAGGCTGCGGTTCGGCTGCCAGATGTAGATCGCATAGTGCGTCTTGCTGTGGGTCGAGTAGAACCGGTCTCTCTCACTTAGCGGATGGCCGAGGAACATGATCTTCCACTCGTTGCGGAAGGTGATGCTCCAGGTGCCGGTCGACGACGACTGGGTCACGTCGAACGAGGAGGCGAAATGCCGATGCACGCCGTCGCTGTCGTTGAGCCAGTGGAAGGCCTTGGGCTCGGCCCATTCCACCACCAGCACCCGCTTCTGCAGGCGGAGGCGCCGGATGACTTTGCCGGTGATGATGAAGGGCACCATGAACCGACGGCTCGTGTCCAGGTCCGTGAGCACCAAGCAGGCATGGTCCGCACTCGGATACACCACCACGCCTTCCTCGTAGGACCAGAAGGACTCGGAGAAAAGGCAGTCCACGCGCTGTACGAGTTGGCTGGCGTGGGTCTCCCACGGCTGGACTGGGAACCACTCCCGCTCGCCCGTGACGCCAAAGTCGTCACATAATCTATACTTCTGTACGGATTGGGGTTGGCCGCGACGCAAGTGGTCGTATCGAGATGCAATACCGTCGAAGAGTTTGCGCCAATGATCGTCCTCTGCGGCTGCGGGCGGCGAATCGTCCGTGTCCGTCTCGTGGTCGAGCTCCCGCACTTCTCGAGCTCGAGGGAAGAGCTGCCTCAGCAGCGGGATGAGGTACAGAGGACTACTGAACGCCTGATTCCAGAGTTTGCAGACCCGACGACAAGTGATGATGTCTTTAGGCGTAAGCTGATTGAAGACCATCCAGAAGATCTCGCGGGGTAAAGCTGTCAGAGCGGTCGTGGTGCCCTCGTACTCCATATCTGCAGACATGGTTTGACGGGCACTTGCGGGGTTACGAGATGTCGATGTCGTGTGATCATGGAAACACGGAGATGTGAAGGTTATGGTAATGAGACAATGTTTGAGCTACGCTCAAATAAGGTCGACGACATTTAGCTAGCCATGGAAGCGTCATGCAAGGGTGCAAGAGCGGGGAAGAGTGCATTTGAGCCTGCAGGGCAAATTGTTTGTTGGTGGCTGGTTTGGGTGGTGTTTACTTCGGAAATCCAGAGACTCGCCAGAATGAATGCGGGATGACAGTAGTGTCCAGCTCACCGCCTGCTTGATAGGCAATCTGTCTGACAGTTCTGCCCGCCAACCCTTCCCAGATTCAGAGGCGGTGGGAAGACGCTCCCTGTGTATACATACATGGAAAATCAACCAATTAATCCAAGTCAATGTCACATGCCAAGAGCTTCAGGACACCTTGCTTCAATCTTCCTTCCCCTTCCCCACGTTGACTGTCGTCTAGAAAATGCAGTACATCTCCTAGACTGCTGAACTTGTATCATCCATCTAGTCTGGTAGTCAAGACAACCGCACATCCTCACAATGCTCCTCCCGCCCAGCTCAGCTGTTTTCCTCGCCGCGTCGCTGCTGGCGGCTTTGCCCGTCCAAGCCGATGGCTTGTACACCAAGAAATCCCCTGTGTTGCAGGTGACGTCCAAGAACTACGACCAGCTCATTGCCCACTCGAACCACACATCAGTAAGCTTCCATCGTGAACCTCACTTCCCAGATTAATCCCGAAACTAACACATCTCCTACCCTCACAGATTGTAGAGTAAGCCAATCCTCCTCCTCCTCCTCCTCCTCCTCATACTTCCCCTCCCAACCCACCACCACCACCACCACCACCACCACAATTCGCCTTTCTAAACCCCCTCAACCCTCCAGATTCTACGCGCCCTGGTGCGGCCACTGCCAAAACCTCAAGCCGGCCTACGAGAAAGCGGCCAAGAACCTCGACGGCCTGGCCAAGGTGGCCGCCATCAACTGCGACGAGGACGCCAACAAGCCCATCTGCGGCCAGATGGGGGTGCGCGGCTTCCCGACGCTGAAGATCGTGACCCCCGGCAAGAAGCCCGGCAAGCCGCGCGTGGAGGACTACCAGGGGGCGCGCACCGCCAAGGCCATCGTCGAGGCCGTCGTCGACCGCATCCCCAACCACGTGCGCCGGCTGACCGACAAGGATCTCGATAGCTGGCTCGCTTCGACCTCGGGTGATGCGGCAACCCCCAAAGCGATCCTCTTCACGGAGAAGGGCACCACCAGCGCGTTGATCCGCGCGCTGGCCATTGACTTCCTGGGCGCGATCCAGGTCGCCCAGGTGCGGAGCAAGGAGACGGCGGCCGTGGAGCGGTTCGGGGTCACGGCGTTCCCCACGCTCGTGCTGGTGCCGGCGGGTGGCAGCGAGCAGGATGCCATGGTCTACGACGGGGAGCTGAAGAAGGCGCCGCTCGTCGAGTTCCTGAGCCAGGTCGCGGCGCCGAACCCCGATCCTGCGCCCGTCTCGGCTCCCAAGAAGAAGAAGAAGGAGGCGGAGAAGAAACAACAAGAAGAGGAGGCCCAGCCCGACGACGACGACGACACAATGGCACAGGAGTCGTCGGCGGCCCCTGCGGCTCCTGTTCCCGCGCCTCAGGTTGAACTCCTGATTACCCAGGAGGCCCTTGCCGCCGCTTGCCTGGCGCCCAAGTCCGGCACTTGTGTGTTGGCCCTTCTTCCTGAGGGACAAGAGCCACAACAACCGGACGAGAAGGAGAGCTCGGCGGCGGCGGCGGCGCAAGTCGCCCTGGCCAGTTTGTCCGAGGTGGCGCACAAGCACGCGCTGCACAAGAGTAAGCTGTTCCCTCTGTACGGTGTCCCGGCCACCAACAGTGCGGTTAAGTCCCTGCGCGCGGCGCTGGAGCTGTCCGAACAGGACCTGGAGATTGTGGCCGTCAACGGTCGGAGGGGGTGGTGGAGAAAGTTCGATCCCGCCGAGGCTGATTACAGCGTCGAGCGCGTCGACGCGTGGGTGGATGCCATCCGGCTTGGGGAGGGGTCCAAGCAGAAGTTGCCCGAGGGTGTCATCGTGGTGGAGGAGGCCCAGGAAGAAGAGAAGCCCGTGGTCGCCGAGCATGACGAGCTATGAGATTAATCAGGGATATCCCCAATGTATGGGTGTATTCACCTCAGTAGCATTACCAATGGTGTTTTAATTAGGTAGGAAACATGTTTTACAATTAGGTAGGAAACATGTTTTACAAGTTATTGCAAGCGTATGGGAAACGAGTCAAATCAGTACCAAAATGTTTCACACCTCAATAAGAAGTCCTCACAAGAAGTAAATTAGAATATATTCCAGTCGAAGAGATAAATCAAACAGCAATCAACACAAAGTTTACAATAGATAGTATAGTCATTACACATGTCCGTCGCCTCCTCTTCCCCCCATACGGCATCATTATCATCAAAATAGGTAGATGTGAGATAGCTCATGACCCTCACTCACGGGGGCCATACCTATAATTATAGCTTGTAGCCCAGTTCCTCTCGTCGATCGTCCGTCAGCCGCCCCCATTCTAACAGAAGCCTGAAGAAGTAGACTTCCATATCTTCCTTCCGCAGTACCTGCGCCGCCCACTTCCGGCCTTCCTCTGCGATCCATTGACCCTCGATATCGTGGGGCTTGAGGAGCGCTCTCTTCTCAGGAGTGGAGGTATGGTCGCTAGATTCGACGCCCGAGAAATATGCCAGGGTACTCCACAAGCCGTGGAGGCGGACATCTACGGGCACAAAGTGTAGCCAAGGGGTGATGCGCGTTTCAAACCATTGGCGGAACAGCCCCGTCTTAAAGGGGAGGCTGTGGCTCTGCATGAAAGGAAGGAAACGGCCGCTGAAGCCGGCGCCGTCGGCGTCGAAGAGATACCGGTTCTGCCAGTGAGCTTGAAAGTCCACTCGCCCCGCCAGTCCGAATTCGGCAGTCTGGTCCTCACAGTCTTGGTGCCTGCAGCGGACAATCGGGTCGAGAATTTGGACAGCTGTGTCGAGGTGAAGGGAGGAAGACGGAGAGGTGCCAGGGAGGATCTGGTAGCGGTACGAGTCGGTGGTGTTGTCCGCTGTTGGCAGGAAAACGGAGACGTGGTTGTGCGTGTTGTTATTGATTAGGTGGGTGAGGCGTTGTCGCGGCATGCCTTTCCATTCGCCTGAATGACTGATACCTTCAGACGTACTGCCGATCCAGAACAAGGTGTTCGACTTGTCGGCATAGTTTGCATCCGGGTAGTCTGTCGACGGTTTGTATTCGATCTTGTCGACGTAATTCCACGGACTTGGGAAAATGATGTCGCCAA